TCGCCTTTGCCTTTGTATAGCGGGACTGTCATGCTATAGTTCCATTCAGTCGGCATTGAGCAATTTCTCGAGATTTCACGGCAGAGTTGTAGTAACGTTTGGATACCTGCAGTACCAGATGCTTTGATATAACAATACAATAATAATAATAATAATAATAACCAATTTGAAATTCACTCCAAATCATAAGTCCAGGTCATACATGCATAACAGTCGATTCTAAAGTTAAAAAATTAAAAAATAATGAATGGATGGATGAACAAACGAATGAATTAATAAATGAAAGATTATGTGTGTGTGTGTCTGTTTGTTTGTTTTATGCGTCAGTTCGTTTGATCGTCTGTTTTTTTGTGTTTTTCTAAGTTTTTTTAATCTTTATGTGCAATATTTATATACGTGTTTTCCAAGTGATTTGTTTCTGTATGTATGTATGTATGTGCGTGTGTATGTGTGTTGTGTGTGTGCGTGTGTATGTGTGTTTTAAAAGTCTGGGCTGGGTAGTTTATTTTTATGAATGGTGTATTCATTCGCATGTACTTCATTCACAGATATGAAAAAAATATAGAGAAATAGTACCTGACTATTTGTTAATTTTTACCACATTTAAAAATATCTTAGCCAAAATATTTTAATAATTATTAATAAATAATAAATTTCTTTTTAAATTTTCAACTTTTTTACCCTAACTTTGAGAGAATTTTTGATTAAATTTTTAATCTAAGTGCTAAGACCCAGATCTCCACCCACACACCACTTTACATTTAATATGGCCATAAAGAGATTTGCTGCAGTTTCATTTTAAATTTTATTTATTTTTCAGTTTAGTTTTAATTATTAATTTTAAGAAATTGAACATTAAAAATGTCATTTTATTTATCAAATATGTTGGATTTTGCGTTCGCGTCTTCTCTGTTGTTAATTTTTAAAATTTGGTATAAAATCTCTTGATTTTTTAATTTCATTAATTTTATTTTAATAAATTTTAATCTAAATTTATTAGGAAAATTAATTATTTAGTTAAATTGGGTTAATTTTTATTTAAAAAACGCCATTTTAAATGATCAAATAGCTCACTTTAACCTTAACTAAAATCTAATGTACTAAATAATTAAATTATTAATTAATTAATAAAGAAACAAAAAAAGAATAAATTAACTCTTCTAGAACAGAACAGACATGAAAAAGGTATGAAATATTGATTAAAAATGGCTTTGAAATTAAATTTAATTAAAATTTAATTAAATATATTTTATTATTTCAATTTAATTTTTTTCTATAATTTTAATATAACAATATTTTAACATCATTGTTCTCTTATTATGATATAATTATGTAGTATGTATAATACTATATAATAAACAATTGCATCAATTTGATACCATTCAGATAACTGATAGTTGACGTTTTGTGATATATATATATCTTGTATCATATCACAATTTATTATATATGATACCTAATACATGTATCATATCACAATATGATATTGTGTGTGTGTATCAGTTTAGATTTGAGTTGGAGGGTTCAACAGTTCAGTTCAAGTGTTGATTGTGGTCTGAATGAATTGATGAATAAATGAATGATGAATTAATAAATGAATGATGAATGGATGGAAGGTTTGACCATCTGTTATGCCAGTCACACATTCAAATTTATTAAAACACCCAACAGAATAGATGATTTAAAATTCCATGTGTAAATAAAATATATGCCACATATAGCTTTCATTTATTTTATGTTATCTTCGTAAGATGAAATTGTCTTTTAATAATCTAACTAAAAATTAAAATCCTAAAAAATTTGGACCTTGTAGATTCTTTTGAAGAAAGAGAGAGATGGAGCACTGAGGCAGCAGCAACTTCAAGTTGAAAATGAAAAAAATCAACAAAAAACTCTTGAAACAGAACAAAGATGTCAACAGAGATTTATCGAAACTTGTAGAGAGAACTCAGAAAACATAGATATATCAGCAAAAAACTTGATATATGATTATTACAAAGATGGCGAGAAGCAAGCAATATACAACTCTAAAAATAATGTTGCAAGAGTCGATGAAAATCTCACATCCAATCATCTCCCACACTGCTTACCACTGCAAATGACATCAGCATCATACTATTCTGCCAATGCCAACCACAGTGGCAGCAGCAACAACAGCAGCTACAACGGCAGCCACAATAGCCACAACAGAAGCAGCAGCAATCAACCACTACCAGCTCACCAACCATATTCTACTTTGTACAACTTGCTCCATTCAAAACAGCAACATAACAGTGTAGCCTTTTTCCCTTGTCCATCTTATAACATTTTACTGAAGCATAATCAACAGTTACACCAACAACATCAGCTACAGCAGTCTCAACAGCAACAACAACTGCATCAAAAAATACAACATCAACAAAACATACCACCTTTAGACCCGATTTATCAGCCCGAACTCGACCAGCAAGAAAAACAGCCAACAACTATATCAAAACTCAACAATCATTCGATTAGAAACATCATCAACAGCAACAACACCAGTGACTGTATTAATGTGGAAATAAATTATCAGCAGCAGCAAGCAGCTGTTGCAGCAGCAGCCACGAGGCTGGCCCAGCAGCTACTGGGCAAGAGAGCTCCGAACAGCCCACTACAAATCCCGATAACTCCGACGACTCAAAACAATTACAGCAACAACGTTTTTGTGATTCCTAATCAAATCAGTAGAATTTCAACGAATAATTCGACAACCTCGATGAAAGCCAGCCAAGGTAACATCAATTACAATCGTAACGTCAACAACAGCTATGACATTGCAAACAAATTTGACAAAACCAACAACAGATTTGAAGACAACAACAACAATTGCGCTGACATCAATGAAAATAGCACGAATCAATACAATGTGAGTAACATGGAAGATAATGTCACGTATCTTATCCCTGATTTTGAAAGAAATTTACACTTAAGCAGCATCAACAACAACAACTTGATGAGATATTACAACAACAACAACATCAATAACATCAATAATAACATCAACAACAACAACAACAACAAATTGTACAACAACAACAACAACATCGTTGACGAAGAGGATGAGGTTGATGATGAGGATGTTGATCTTAATGATAATGACGGTGATAAGGTCATGATTACAAATACTATTAGTGACGTTGATGCTAGTAAAATGACGCACAACAACAACAACATCAACTCCAACAACATCAACAACAACAACATCATCAGCATCAGCAACAACATCAACAACAACATCAACAATAACAACATCAACAACAACAACATCAACAACAACAACACCAACAAAAACAGCCACATTAATATCAATTACATTAATATTGATAATAGTAATTATAGAGATATTAATAATAATAATAATAATATTAATAATATAATTATTAACGATTCAACATTATCATCATCCTATTCAACTGATGATGACGACGACGATGATGATGGTGTTAACAGCAATAATAATAATAAGAAGAACAGTAATAACAATGATAACAATAATAATAAGAACAACAATAATAATAATATTGGTGGAGATGGATTGAATGAATGTGGAAAAAGATACCATGACCTGGACAATATTATTGTTATTTCTCCTGCTACAAATAATAATAATAATAACAACAATAATAATAACAATTATAATAACAATTATAATAATAACAATAATAATGAATTAAATGCAAATGGTGTTAACCTTATTTTGAAAAATGGTAATATGAAAAGTACAAATAGCACTGATGATAATGAAGATATCAAGTGTCCAATCACAGTCCTCCAGACACACCCAGCGGCCAGTGAGAATTTGCCATTCAAACAGCCATCAGCCAATCAGGGCAGGGGTAAAGGTCGCCCGGCTAAGAACAGCCAATCAGAGAGCAGTTTGCAGGGGATTGGTTCTCGCGCAATTATCAAGTGTCCTGTCTGCAACAAGGTTGGTGAGATGATGATGATGATGATGTTTAAGATGATGATGATGATGTTTAAGATGATGATGATGATGTTTAAGATGATGATGATGATGATTAAGATGATGATGTTTAAGATGATGATGATGTTTAAGATGATGATGATGATGATTAAGATGATGATGATGTTTAAGATGATGATGATGATGATTAAGATGATGATGTTTAAGATGATGATGATGTTTAAGATTAGGATTATGATAAAAATGATGGCATTATAATATAAACTTGTTTTTCACTGATAATAACAGTGATGACGATGACTTGTTGGTCATCGTCAGCTTGCCACCATCATTTCAAAACACATCTTCTTCATCATTTTTCTTGTTAAATTATGTAGGCACGAAAAAAATGTTCGCTTGATTTTTCAAGACAAAATTTTTAAATTGACTTCATTTGATATATTGATATATGATATATTGGTATATCATTTCAAAGGTTATATCTTCCTGTATCTAGTTTACATCAAATCATTCCACTGGTTTTTTTTATGAGATATTAAAGATGTTGTAAAAGTGTGATTTTAGAATTTGTATCGTGAGTTTAAACTCGGGCATACTGCAGTTGATACAACTTGTAATATTGTGGAAGCACAATGAGGAGGTGTTAGTTTGGTACTGTCCAGATCTCCTCTTCCTTACAAATGACCATTAATTCAAATGCCCCAACAATCGCTAATTTATGCTCTACCGTCGTCACTGGACTTATTCCTTGTTGGCTGATGACTTCAGCGGTTCTTATTTTTAATTGGAAGTCTGTTACAGGGGTCAAGTTATCACATATTTTATTGGATGGTTTGAAATTGGTGTTATTTTTGGCACCGATCTAATGTATATGACTATTATTATTGTTATTTATTTGTCATCATTTTAATTCATCCTCATCTTCTTCTTCCTCCTTCTCATCATTATCTCTTTCATCCCCATCTTATCTTCTTCCTCCTTTTCATCATCATCTTCTTCCTCACCATCCTCTTCAACTTCATCATTATCATCATCCTAACTCTGGAACCAGGTATTCAACAATTCAAGTGCACTGGCCAAACACAAGCTGACACATAGTGACGAACGAAAGTACTCGTGCAATTTGTGCTCTAAGGCCTTCAAGAGACAGGATCATTTGTGAGTTACGATAACGACGATGACTCGAATGATGATGATGGTGTAGTTGTTATGATAATGATGGTGCTTGTGATGATGATGATGATAATGGTGGTAATGATGATGGTGTTTTTGTTGTTGTTGTTGTTGATGATGATGATGATGATAAGGATTGTGATGATGAGGATGGTGTTGTTGATGATGATAAGGATTGTGATGATGATGATGTTGTTGTTGCTGATGATTTGTTGACCTTTTACAACCTTGACCCCTAGAAACGGCCACATGATGACCCACAGCAGTAAGAAACCCTTCGAGTGCAAGTTCATTGGCTGCAGCAAAAGCTACTGCGACGCCCGCTCCCTCAGACGCCATCTTGAAAATCATCATCAGGACTACCTCAATAATGTCAATAACAACAACAACAACAATAATAATTGTGATAATAATAATAATAATAATAATAATAATGAAGGTATAAATATAAAGGTCGATGGTACACTGAAAATTGCCTTTTCTTATACTGCTAACGACAATAATAATAATCATAATAATAATAGTAGTAATAATAGTGATGGAAATAATAATAATAATAATAATGTCTGGATGCCTGGCTTTAATCCTTTAAAGTAAGGAGATATTGGTTTATTATTATTATTAGGAAGTGAAATTTTTTGGTTCTATAGACATATAATTATTAAAACAAATAAATAGATAGATAAGTAAATAGATAAATAAATGATTAATTAAATGAATATTTATGATAATTATTTTTAAAACGTTTAAAAGTGAACCTAAACCGGTAAAGTGCCATGTCTGTGATAGGGGTTTTAAAAATATTCCAGCCCTGAACGGGCACATGCGGCTGCACGGAGGTTACGTTATCAGGGTACGATTATTATTATTATTATTGTTGTTGTTGTTATTATTGTTGTTTTTGTTGTTGTTGTTGCTTTTGTTGTGTTGTTGTTGTTGTTGGTTGTTGTTGTTACTGCTATAATCAGCATAAGTTTCCTCGTCGTTGTCGTCATCATCTCAATCGTCATCATCGTCGTCGTCATCATCATCGTCCTCTTAATCATCATTCTAACCATCATCATGGCCATATTTAGGATTTAATATCTCCGACTGATGAAGACAGTCAGGCTGACAAACCACCATTACCACATCAGCAACAACAACAGCAGCTGCAACATCAGCAGCTGCAACATCAGCAGCTGCAACATCAGCAGCTGCAACAGCCTCAGCAGCTGCCTAGAAAAGCCAACAAATATATAAATAGATTGGAAATCTCGGCTTCCGTTAATGACTCTAGAAGTATATCTACTTCGTTGGATTCTCATAAATATATTAGAAATGATGATGACAATAATAATAATAATAAAAATAACGAAAACAGTGATGGTGATGGTGATGATGGCGGTGGTGGTGGTAATTGTTTCGTTGATAATGGCTTCAAATCTAAAAATATTCCGAATAATAATAATAATACTTACAATTATAACCCTTGGTCATTGTATAATAATAACAATAAAAATAATAATTGCGAAAACAGTAATAATAACAATAATAATAACCTTCTTCATTATTTACAAACAAACCAGCCTAAGCTGAGCAATTACAAGAATCACATTCATTCTGTTGACTCCAACAAGGACCTTGAATTAGGCAGCGTAATTAACAAACTTTGTAGTAGTAGCAGCAGCAGCAGTAGTAGCAGCAGCAGTAACAGCAGCAGTAATAGTAGTAGCTATGGTAATTATCTCACAGTGTCTACACCCAGCGGCGTTTCACTATTCCCTAATTCTTTCTACACGAATGGTGTGACTAACAGCCAGGCTTCGCCGGAACTCCCTAACTCTTTGGCGGCCAGTTCGCTCTACCAGAGAAGGAGAAAAAAATTATCGGAAAGCGGCCAGCTAAGTTGTGACACCAACTCTACTGACAGTTTCACTAATTCTTCTTCAGTTAGGCAGAACACCGGCAGTGATAGTTTCATCAATAATAATAATAATAATAGCAATAACAATAATAATAATTATAATAATAATAATGTTAATTTTGCTGCTACTACTGCTACCTCTTCTACTGCTAACAGGTATAATTGTAGTAAAGGCAGTAGCTATAATTTTGATAGCTTCATTTTTGCTAGCAGTGCAAACAAATCAAACAATTTCTCAGCCGGTAAAAATATCAGTAGAAATATTAAACAGGATGTTGAAATTAAAAGTTATGGAAATTCCAGAGCGGCTAAAAATAAACAAGAGTTATCGCATTCAGCTTTGGGAAATCCCGCAATTAATCTCGCCCACCACCTGCAAAGCGAAACTAAGAAACTTGTGCACTTCAAGTTGAAAAATAAAATCTTCAACAATCAACAAACCGACTCCAACAGCAACAACAAAAATATCGGCACTGTTGCTATGGCGACAATGACATCAACATTCGGCAACACCATCACTACTACAACTGCTACTGCTGCTACCGCCACAACCACAACAGCTGACCTCTTAGCTTCCAGACACGTTGATTACGTCAGCATGAGAGCCAGCTCATTCCCAAACTTGAAAGCTGTCAGCTGCAACAACAAATTCGGCAGCAACAGTGTTCTCGACAAAAGTAACAACATTGATGATGGTACCTGTGGAAACGACAAGTTCATGGAAAGTAGTAACGTCTGTGTAAATAGTAGCGTTGACAACAACTTCAACACTAATTATACCATGTTTCCAGCATCTTCCTCAAGCAGATCAGCAGCTTCAAGAGAGCCGCACCAACAACATCAACAAAAACAACAGCAGGATTTCTTCAAATTCGATTCTCCACATGCTGCTCTTGAAGATGTTCATTCAACGAAATCATTTCTCACCAACACTAGCAACTTCAGCAACTGTGACGTAACTACTAATTATCGGTGGCATCACAACGCTAACAATAAAATCTCACTTGACGACGTCATCAGCAACAACAACTACAACATCGGCTTCAAAAACAGCTACAACAGCTGCACCAATCTCCTGAACATCAACAAGTTATACAGCAGCAACGGTGGCAACCTCAGTAGCAGCAACGGTGGTAACGTCAACAGCAGCAACAACACAAACGCCCATTCATCAATGCCTTGCACTCCTTACACCGCTCATACGCCTTACACTCCGCGAACAACCGACCCACACTCTCCCAAACAAGCCAGCCACTTTCAATTTCCACCCTACCCAGATGAACCACAGGGGGCTGTGGGTGGTCCCGCTGATTACAGTCCCATTCCCAACCCTGAAAGAGCAACGTTTGGAAATGTTGCTGCTATAGAAACTGCTAGAATTCCAAAATTTGTCGAAAGCTTTGAGGAGGCGAGAGGGTTGAACAGCGTAGCAGCAGCAGCAGAGGACATTTCTTCAAAGAACAACAACAAAAATAGTAATTACCAACATGGCTGCTCAAACAATGAAGAAGATGGTGATGGTGGGGGCAGATTTCATCGTGCACGCTCGCATGTGGACAGAGGTAAACATTCAACTAGCGGCACTGTTCATAGCAGCTTCACCAACAACCTTGTGTACGGTGGGGATGGTGGCTACCAAAACAGAGATGTGCTTGCTTCTCACGTCATCAATTCGGGAGCAGCCGATGATGAAAAAGTTCGATCCAATGCGAAGAATGTAATCTTTACTGATGAAAAATCTGACAACAAAATTTCAACTGCTCAAACGTCGACGTGGGAGACTAAGAATGAACGCCCTGCAACGCTCACTAGGGTCAAAATGGAAAAATGCAACTCCCACCACCCAAGCAAGTTCATCCCGACAACAGTGCGTGACGTCATCCAAGATGGAAGAGAGGTCGAAACCAAAACTGAAATTGAAATAAAGCAAGAGAAGGGAACTTTCGTGGAACCTTCTGAGAAACTATCAGATCGTCGCAAGGTGAAGCCGACTCCGCTGATGCTTCTACCTCCACCGAAAAATCCAGAGGAGAAAGTTTTGAACCCCATCGATGTGACTAACCGCCACAAGGACTCTCTCGTGCCAACGTACACACCCCCACCGATGTTGAGTCCAGTTATATCGGCCGGTGGATTGTACTGGAAGTCATGCTCCACTGCCCAATCTACCGATTCCGGTTATCCCAAGTCCGGTGTATCCTGGTTGGATTCCAGTGACGTCAGAGAGAGCAGGGATGTGCTGTTCGGTGATTGCGCATTCCTGAAGGACGCTGGGGATAAGTTGGGATCTTGTGCGGGATTGGAGGAAAAGTTGTTGGAGAGGAAAGTGGGAGGAGTGGATTGTGGAGATGGGCGGTTTCTCAAGGTTCTACCCGTTGTCCCGTAAGTTGGATCATTTTTTTTGGTTTTTGCTTTGCTATTATTTTTTCTTATTTTCGTTTTTAATTTTTTCTTTCAAATCAATTTATTTTATTATAATTAATTGTAAATAATTAATTATTATATTATAGTTTAATAATTATAGTTTCAATTATAAACATTAAGATTTTAAAAGAGATAAATTTAGTTATTCATTTTATATTCTTTAATCTTG